GAAGTGGTAAAGAATAAATTGCTGGTTTTAGAGGTGAAGACGATCTCCACAATCAGTGGGATCGTCCGTCTGTGAGGGCTTTTAAGTAAACACTCGTAGGTCTCTTAAGCCCTCGGTGGGTGCTAAGATATGGCTCGGTCCGGGAAACAAGGTGCCTTACTAAGAGAATATGGGTGTCACTGAAGTATATCGGTGTTTCTAGTATATTAACTGTACACTTTAGTCTAAGCCCCGTGATTAATTGCTGTTCCGAAGCTGATTGGTTATTGCATTATAATGTTGCTGTTAATTGTCTTCAAGCCTTCTGTCACCCCCAGGTTAACCAGTTGACGTCAGTCTCACTTTCATATGTCTAGCCAGGAAGCTTCAGCCCCTTCCGGCTTAGCCTATTGTCTTTCATGGATTTCTCTGAGCTTTTACTCTATGCTTACCTCCTATTTCTTATTCCTTATATATCCAAGTAAGTATATGTGGCTTGAACTAACGGTATCCAATACTTTGGGCGAGCTCCAGTTGGCTTACAAATCGGAAAAGGTGGTACGCTGAGTAGGCCCGAGTCAGAGTTAGAAGACAATTGTGCTGCACACCAACACTAAGGCTGGAGGCAAGCATGGGCCGTCATGTTCGAGGTTGCAATAGGCAGCCAGCAGTGCTGAAAGCTGCCACTTTCAGACATGCAGTGACTGCGTCACAGTAAAAGCATTTTACATCGGAAAGTGCTATTCAAAAAATTCATCGTGATGTTGAGATGGTAGCTTTGATCTTGCTTCTGGATGATGTTGAGTTCAGTCTTCAGCAATGGCAGTCTATGCAGGAAAATTCTTGCCGTCAAATAACTCTTATTCGGTAAACCAAATATGGTTGAAATTTGATGCTCCACGGAGCCGCCACACCAGTTGTACTGCGATGCATGAAGTCTCCGGTTATGTACACTAGTGCTGCATGGTCAAGCACTTTAAACGGAGATGCCTTCTGTCTGCCTACGTTGTTTTTTCGTAGTGCGTCGCAGCACACCTGAGAATAGTAGACCACTTCTCGCACAAATTAACCATATGAGTTGCTAGCTTTCCATAAGAAATCACTCGAATGTTTCATCGCCTCCACCATACTTGTCATGCAGGGACGTTGAGTGCCCGCCGCTGGGCGTTGTCAACGTCAAAGCTTTAAGTTTACCTTGGTAGCTTTTCCGAATAAACGTGACTCGCGTATGATGTTGGCTAGCTTAATGAATTATTTGTTCGTTCCACAATTTCCAGTGGAGTGAACAGGACTCCATCTCAATCTGAAACTCAAAAGTTTTGAGCAGTAAGACGGTATCGTACAATTCATAATTTTGGGGATGTAGAAAGCTGTTCATAATAATACAAAGGAAGGGCCACAACTTTCTGGCGCAGTTTGTGTACGCACAATCTACTCTGTTTCTTCGGCAAGGTGGCGGCGGGTTTGCCTATTCATGTATACTTGCCTATATATTTAGCAAAACAATGTTGCAACCCGTTTCGATCAAACGAAAAACCAATAATAAATTCAGGGTCTACTGAAGATCTTGAACGGGACTCTTCAGAAAAGAAGCGTGATTAAGCTAACACCCTTTTAGATGTAGTGGATCAAAGCAAATGGAGTGTTAGCTCATTTAAGGACAGAAGTATGAAATTGAATCGACTTAAACGAAAATACTGGAAGTGGATAAAAAAGTCTTCCTGGTAAAAACGAAAAGAACAGCGGGACGTGAAAACGGAGATAAAACCTGAGAGTAAGAAAATGCATTTGAATATCACCGTGGTTGCTGAAGAATAACGATGCTAGTTTTAAAAAAGTTGACAAAGCAGTAGAAACGGAATAGGTCGGGCATGCGTGCACGCGATATTTACGCCACACAAGTGCAGCCCTAATATGAATGAAAATAAGCATATACTCCAGGAAATTGACGGGTTAAATTCCATGATTACGTACAGAAAACTCCACAAACGAGGAACTTCAAAACCAACCAACCACTGAGGTATCACTTTCATCTCACTTGCATGATTTCACCTGCGATATCTATCTTCCCATTTTGTTCCCATGGCATATCAAGTGTTACCGCACGTAATGCATCGCAGTTTATTTTTGAGTTCCTTTTCGTAGTAATACCAACTGCCCTTTCCCCGCTTCACAATATCTGGATTTTGAACTACATCCTGTGTCCTTGACAAGGCTGAAAAACATTTTGGCCAGCCCAGAAATCCTCAAATGAAGTCACGGGTGATTGTTTTGGTGGCTTTACTTGCTGTGAACAAAAACGAGTCCTACGAAAATCAACACCGGGAATTTCGCGTTGAGTGTTTCCTAAGCAGGGTGGATGGTCAGATATCGTCTGCATTGCACCGTGGTAAATTCTGCTTCTCACACCATAGGCATAAATCTTTTCCGCTTTGTCACCTTCAGGAAACTTTATTGGAAGATTTCAGTGGGAATGATGGTCATACTAGACGCATGAAGTCTACGAACACTTCTGAGAGGTAACTAAGTTTTCTGTTTCCAAACAAAAGGAAGTTAAGTGGTACTTCCTCTGACAAGATAGAATATACTGTAAAGGATGAAGTAGATAGGCAGGACTGCAAGTCGTGGCAAAGTTAGTCACCAACAAAAGAGACACTATGTTGTCACCATCATGCCAACCAGATTTCTACCTCGTGGCAGGGACAACAATGAAATCGGTTGGAATCAAGTATTATTTGTGCTTGTGGCAACCGTTTGGTCCATAGCTTTAGATTCTAACCTCATGCACTGTCTTCTGACACCAAGTGAACACAGAAAAGGTGGAATAAAAACACTGCCACTGCTCGAGTATCTTGGAGTGCATCCGGAGATGATCAGAGTTCAAAAATTGTGTCGCTACTCATGCCATATCTTCCATTAGAGCTGCAATGGCCACCGAATTACCTCTTGCTACATTACGTTCCGCATAGTTGGGCCACACTCACTAAAAATCAAGTCATTTGAAGTCTATTTTTCAGTGCATATCGAAGCAAATATAGTGGCATACATGGTCACGTAGAAAATAAGTGAAACCGATGGGTTTTATTATGACGCCGAACAAGATAAGATTTCTGATCAACCCGAAAGACGTATCATAGCACAGCATAACACAGCAAAGGCATTTTCTGGCTCACTGTATTTCAGGCATTGAGATCAGAATGCATCCCGAAGTAATGGACTTGATGGTTCATGATGCCACTTCTGGACTCGTAGAAGGTAACACATCTCTTTCGGAACGGGATTCCCTTCTACTTGGTCACCGCTTCCTGAACATCATAAATAATATCATTAAGAATGTGGCCATACATAGAGAGCATTGGATTTGGGCAACCGTATGAACACTGAAACACAACTTGTTGATTTACTGAGTTCATGGATTTAGGACTCATTAATACCGCAGTCCCGATACCAAAGCAGGATGAATTGTATCAATTACTACGAAAGGCTAAGGCCTCAGTAACCATCAGTGTAAGATGCGGGTGGCAGCAATGGCGGATGTATTCGCAGTAAAATAAAACTTGAAAGTCACTGCCAGTCAAGCATCTTCCGAAGATGAAAACGAGCATGCATTCTTGATTACTGCACCGAAAAAAGGTGCGAGTGGCATCCAATACTAACAATATCTCGATGAATCTGAAACTTATTGTGCGCCAATACCCACAGTACTAGGGTTCCGACCGACAAAATAAGTCATTATTTGACCTGCATTACTGACTGTTATCTATGAAGGGTGTAGAAGCGACTTAAGTTCAATCGTTAGAACACATGGGACTGAAATTCACCGGCGTCGAGGTACATCATTGTGGGACGCCAATGTCTTTTTAAACAATCAGAAACTCTGTAAATAAATGGGTTTTTAACGTAGGAAGTAACCATCTATGATTATTTGCCGTAGCCCTCTTAGCCTCACCAGTGCATTTGCCTTAGCTGCAATTCAGCTGTGTTGAAAGCAAATATGGTCAAGTATTCGGAGACCAGAATGCACATGAAAGAAACTGGAGGAAGCTTCTATCTTTAATACGCGGTGATGTTAAAGATGTGATAAGATTGCGGAGTGTCTATCTGCACAGATAATCTGCTGCCGTTCTTGTGGAATACACCAGAGGAAGCACGAGAGCGGTGAAATTTCGTTAACTTCAATGTTAATTCACCGCGACCTAGGAGTTGGAGTTAGCAAGAGACTGAAGACCAAGGCGAAGTTTTACCTAATATTAGCTCCAGGATTCAGGAGACGTCGAACACTTGCGAGGAACGGTGAAAATATGCTAATCCTCTTGTACACAGCCTTTTCCTATTTCCGACTGTAAAACAATGTACAAATGGCCAATCCTAGACTAAGTAACGACTCAAATATTCTTAAGAGAATTCAATAGAAACGCAAGTCTGTGACACTTGGGAAAACTGGCTGGACATGTGATGTTCAAGTTCAGAGCCCAAAACTCATCTTTATTGCAAAGTGAGAAGTGAAGAATCTTGATCACGAAAAAACAAATAATCAAAATGGCTGTCTATCTGACTTATCTTCTCTTTCCCTTCACGCTAATTAGCTTTAACTTGAACCATGTAGCGGAAGAGGGAACAAACAGGAAATAAGGTGCTATTGCCGGAAAGCAATGGTTTTCATTTCAAGGAATTAACTCATGCAACACAATTTAAAAGTTAGGAATATCAACGACTGTAATTTCATCTTTCTGTGAGGGTTTAAAAAAGTACAGAAGCCCACTCCAAAAATTTGTTAGGTTGCCGAATATAGAGATCTTTAGGATTTGTCCTAGTGCGAACTTGACAGACGCAAAGACCAATCACTAATTATTCGAACTTGTTATATACCCACGAATACGAGATCGAGGAAGAACACGATAGCGTAGTCGGATGGAATAGTATATTTGGATGGTTATGCCAAAATACCGATGCCTTCCAACTAACTGGCTAGAGAGTCGAATACGAGCAATGCAACGTAACACGGTAGCGTGCCAAATGGCGAGGATGCTTGACCGGGTGCCTTCAGCTTAGCGAGTCCAGTTAAACTATCAAGGTCAGCATCAATGTCGAAAGTCGTCAAACCCTAGGCTATTGATTTTGGGGAAGTGTGTGACGCTACAGATCAACCTAAAATTTATGTAGATACTTACTGCAAAACTTACATAAGGCAAAATAGCTTAACACCCTTCAACCAGAAATTTGAACCTCACGCGCTGTTTTTGCTTTGACCGTTACAGGATATGATAGGTGGCCTTTTTATTTACAATCACAAAGGGGAGGTTCTGATATCACGAATATTTCGTGATGATGTCTCCAGAAATGCTGCTGATGCTTTTCGTGTTAACGTTATACATGCAAGGCAGCAGGTGCGGTCACCAATTAGTATAGTTGCTCGGACAAGTTTCTTCCACGTTAAGAGAGCAAACATCTGGATATGCGCTGTCGCTCGCCGCAATGTAAACGCAGCAATGGTTTTCCAACTACTTCATGCCCTGCTAAATTTGATGAAAGATTACTTTGGAAGGGTTACGGAAGAAAATATCAAAAACAACTTTGTTCTTATATACGAAATCCTCGATGGTAGGTTAACGTACTGTAATGTATTTCGTCAGAGGTGATTGATTACGGTTACGCTCAAAATACCGACACTGGTATTTTGAAGTCGCTCATAACGCAGGCTGGTACACGCACTGCCAGCAAAGAGGAAACTGCGCAAATCACAAACCAAGTTACTGGGCAAATCGGGTGGCGTCGCGAAGGTATCAAGTATAGGAGAAATGAACTGTTTTTGGATATAATGGAGTCGGTTAATCTGCTTATGTCTCCGCAGGGTATGTAAAATTAACTGGTTTTTTACATTTACCAGTCTACTAGGCATTTACTTTCAGTTGCTTGTTAGTTAGCTAACGTATTTGATAGCCACGCAAAATCAGAAATTCAATAAGTGATGTGAAAAAACCCACTTAGGCTCACCAGGTGTTTGGAATGCTTTATATGTATATGCATACTTATAAAGTAGAAAAAGCAAAGAAATTGGTTGGAATATTAACACGACATTTATCACACATTTATTGTCTTCTGGTGTAAGGTTAGGGTTTTGTCGATGTTATGCTGATGGTTTAAAAACTAGGCGTATTGAATACATCAGTAGCTATTGCTCTTCTAAATAACACAATAGAAGAGATGGTAGGTGAGTTGTTAAAAGTTTTTCGATAAACCTGCTGTTTTCTTCGCCCTCTCTATGTGTTATTACACACCTTCGACGTTTAGTAAATGTGATTGATTGCTTGATATAGTTTCGCAAGTTGTTGATTTCGGATCACTTTATTTTCATCCACTAATTAGCTCCATTTGAAGGGTGGCTTGTGTGATGTGTCATTCTGTAAAGTGTTCATTATGTATAATCAGTTATATGTAAAATCTGTGCACCTTTTTGATTTTACCTCTCCCATTATGATTTTATATTAGCCGCACTCAAAGCTCTCCTTGGTTTTATGTACTACGGAGAGTAAGTCGTAACTCTGACTATAATCTTGCTTTGAAAATGCTAAGATGCGCAGTCTCAAATTTCGCAAACTACACTATTGTTTCAGTAAAGAGCTATGTATGGGTAGTCCATCCTGCCTGTCGAGGTTTTGGTAGTCAAGTGAGATAGCTTAGTGTATCCCAGTAAGGAGACCTGCATATGTTTGTTGAATAACTATATTCTTGTTCATTTGATTTTCTTGTGGATTGTTGGCTCTATCATTTTAAGAATTTTTCAAAACGGCCCTGATTGCTGAATAATGTTCGCCCAACTGAGGTTTGGCGATTATGTTTCATGAATGACATGTTAAACGTTCGGGATTTTGCATGTGCTGAGGCTGGAGTAAAAAAATAAAGCACAGAGAATCAGTTAAAGACTTTGTAATGAAAAGTGTATCAACAGCATGTGCATGTATTTGATGAGTTGTATCTCTCAAAAAAAACTATTTAAGTAATTTTCGGTTAGTATGGAATGAATTTCTAATTGGTGTCTCAGCTATCACAACCAGATAGCAAACTTTATCTACTTAAATGCAAATTAGTGCTGCTCATCAAATATTTATACTTCAAGAGAAATGCTGATAAAATGGAGTTCGCAAGTTGTCTGACCTCAGTATATTCGAATTTATAACTGCTTCCGTACAGCTGGACCGAATGAAATTGTTTATCAGCATTTTATGAGGAAATAATGGCTCTGAATATATTCGTTGACTTGCCACAAAACTGTACCATCCCATACAATGAGTGGGATTATATATATATATATATATATATATATATATATATATATATATATATATATATATATATATATATAGATGACGAAGTATAATTGTTGGACCTTAAACACAGTCGTAATTTGTTGATTTATCTAGACTCCTGAGTTGGTTAGAATGATTCTTCTTTCTTTGTTTTGGTTTGTCCTATCTGTAGGACAAGTTTTATCGGCACATGTAGCGGGTCGTGTAATCATGAAGTCTTATTTAAGTGGCATGCCAGAATGTAAATTTGGGTTCAATGACAAAGTTAGTCTCGAAAACAAGCAACGATCTACAGCTGGTACTGAAGACAGGTATGATTTTTTCATTGAAAACCTTAGTGAGGTAGTTAAGCTTTTGAAATAGTTTACATTTACTAATTCTATGTTCATGCAAACGGTTTCACCTATATGAATTTCCACTAAAGACTTGTGGATAATGAAGTATTGAGGAGTGGTTAACTAGAGACTGAATGGTATAACTTAGTGAATCACCATTCTGAAATTATATTCGTCATCGAGCTACTGACAGCAGTTTACTGCCTTTTAGTAGCCTGAAAGAAAATACCCTTTAATTCTATGCAAATTAGGTCTGTGGATTTAAGTATTATTATAGTGAGAGCTACTGATAAGATTGCATGTGTATTATATGTATAACAGCGTTAAAAGTGACAACGACGGATTGGTGAGAAATCAGGCGAAAGGAACATAATGTTGGATGAAGATGCAAAGCATAGGAAGTAGGTGGAATGATATGCAGAACAGGAGCTAATTTGCAAATGGATAGATTATTGCTAGATATGGGAATTTTACCATTATCAACGGTATTGTTCTCAACAAACAATTACAGCTTCTCGTTGGACTTCTTCATTACTGTTAGCGTTTTGTTAGATTATTGAGTATTCAATTCTGTGTGTAGCAACTAATGTAGCTTAACTGTGAATGTCATCAACAGTCTGTTCTTGCTAGTTTTCTCACCTCCAAAGGTTATGAGATCTCTTTTAGAGCTTCAAGAATTTCCCATAAACACTTCCTATCCATCACATGATTAATGTGAAGATAAATTCCACTACAAAGTGATATTACTTTAAGGAGTAATAAAAGCTCGAATGGAGCAATTATTTCGTCTTAAAATATGACTTGTAAGCAATCTACGCAATAGAGTTATGGCTTATTGGCTAAAACACCTGCCTTTTATCCAGTTAAACACGACTTCCATTGTCACTTCCTTTCTTGTGTTTTGGATAACCAGGTAGTTTCACTAGCTTTCACATCATGAGGATATCTTAGTGTAATGCACAAACCTGCATATATTTGCTAAGTTGCATCCAATGGTGCTAACTTTTCAGAATCGGACGTTCAGAAGTTTATTATTGGTCACTGTAAATGTGTGCTGGAAATTATATCATTTCGCTGCAAAAATTCTTTATTGAAACTCACTAAGTCCTGAAAATCGTCACTGTAGTAGTGTTGTATCTAGGTACAGTTTTACTGTAACATACTCTATATTTAAATTTCTTGGAGACAAAGCAGTCAAGTTTACATATTCTTTACTGGTTGACTTATTAAAGATGCACTTATTGTATTCCTCAAAATTATTAGCAGTCTTCTTTTTGTAATCCATACCTCACCACTCTGTCAACAGTTTTTTTAAAATTTTTCCGTTTCCAGTAGCGGAGGCATTGCTATAGATGACTGTCAGTTTCATCAGTGTGTGAAATTGGGTCGATTCGAAACGGAACATACCATCTCCTTTATTCCACCAGATGGTGAATTCGAGTTAATGCGATATCGAACTACTAAGGTAACTGGTTATCAAAATTGAAGTAATATGTTTTGTTGCAAAGTAACTAATCTACTTGAGATGTGCTTATTCACCTTTTCTAATCCTTAAGCAGTCAAAGGAACGAGATACTGTAGATAAAATTTCTAAACACTTCTCATTTGTCTTTTCGAACTACTTACTCCTTACCTCAACAACACATGTATATGTATATAGAGTTTTCTTGTCTCTTCATTCACTATCAAACGCATCTACTTGCTATATCCATAAGAAAATCAACAGCTGGATACTTTTAGAGTTGATCACTATATTTATTGTAAAGCTCTAACTTTCCATGTTTCAAAACAGCATAGCAAATGAAAAGCAATTTAGAAAATCATCAGCAAGCAGTTGGGCGAGCAGAAATAAATAAAAGACTGAATGTATCTCTGTATCAATTTCAACTCACCACCTTACTTGTTTTACCAACGAATTTCACTCTCTTGGATCTAAACTAGCAATCTCACATTTCTCCACTCTTTAGTGACCTCCATCATATTGTCTCTGACTTTAAACACTGAGGACACCTGTGTGAATATGAGCGAAATTCCATAAATATTCCCAACTAGTTTTAGTGTAAGAAGAACTCATTAGGGAATTCAATTCTGTTTCTATTATCCGTATGAAAACCAAAAGTTGCTTTTGCAGAGTGTTTGGTCTTGTTTAATGTTTCTTAATTGCAAAATAGACAAATGTGAGTGTGGTTTTTAACTTTAAAGAAATAACTTTTTATACATAAATATCAGGAGATAAGTCTACCCTTCCGTGTGATACCGCTTGTTCGTGAACTTGGCAAAACAAAAATGGATGTTAAAGTCATTTTAAAGGCGAATTCCGTCCCAGTTTATTTGCACAGAAAATTGAAGTACGTATCCCAACGCCGACAAATACAAGTGGTGTACAAGTTGTTTGTATGAAAGGTAGAGCTAAATATAAAGCTGCTGAAAATGCTATTGTTTGGAAGTGAGTTAATTTGCATAAAATTATTCTACTATTTTTTCCCATACATATCTGAACGGTAACTTAGACCAAAGTTAAATACTAGTAACTTTTGTGTCCTCTCAGTATGTTACTCTAATAGTCGACTTTTATTTTGAAAATAAAATGCATTTTTAGATCAGTTATCGGAGTTGATTCACATTTCAGCAAGCAGCATTTCTTCACATTCTGATAGCAGCGTTCTTGACAGTAGTTTGACCGAAAAATGAATGGTTGTTGAGTTGAGATTCCCAACCACTTTTTCAAGTTCTTTGCTGCTAGCTTTTATCCAGACTAGATTGATTACATGCCACTTAGTCATATTTTCAGCTTGATATCATGCTTATAAAGAATTTTCAGTAAATCTAGAATTTATTCGGTCTTTTTTCCCATCTTTTTGGTTAAATCGTATCCATGATTCTTCGTATGCTTCCTATATTTTGATAGTGGAATACTGACCACCAAATTCTCTGACTCGAAAAACACTGAAACTTTGACCATTAGTTGTATGTTCTTATTATAATTCGAAGTTGCGTTTTTGATTCGATTATATTCGATAGTAATGGGTTAAGAGATTAATGTCTTACATAGCTTGTGATAATATGATAATGATAATGAACTATGGTGAATCAATTGTTTAGTGTTCTTTGGTTTCCTGTGACTTTTATTTACTGTTGAAAAACTATCTTGGAATCATTTGATTTCCTGGAAACCACCTATTCGAAACCTAATTTTGCCACATTTTTAGCTAAATAAATTAAGGGATTAACTGTTTATGCATAAATTGTGAAATAAAGTATGAAAAACTAGGATTTCTGATTTTCATTCGGTAACCCGTGGAATTATGAAGATAGGTTTTACAAATTGGAAGTACCAAGCTTCAATTAAATAAACATACTTTCTTATGAATGGGATCTTAGTTATTCAACAGCGAGTGTTGGTGTTATCATTGTTCAAAATATTCTTACCAAAAAGTGAATTTCCTGTTGCTCTCTTCTGATGTACAAACACGGGCAAATCAACATAGAATCTGGCACAGAAGCGTATCAGTTCAAGTTGACACACTCCACACGCGAAAGAGCAAGTAGATTGGAAAAGAGTGGTATCAAAGCTGAGAAATGTGTATAAGAAGAGATGGAATAAGGAGACGAAGGTTAACAAAATATTCACAACTTCCAAAATGACAAACAGCGTATATATCTGTGGCATTTTTACTGCTTCTGTGTGATACCTAAGCATAGATTCCCTTCGTCTCGAGGACCCTAACCGAGTAGCTAAAATCTTTCTACACGGCTCACTTCAGGCTTCGTGGGCTGATGCCACTTGTTGATCCGACCACATGTAACCTTTCAACCCAATTCTACTTGTACTAAGAAAACATGTTGAGTTAGGGGGTGACTCAGCTTGCATAACGCATGTTCAAGCCACCTCAGTCAAACATGTTTCTCCTGGAAGCAGTTCAGTCCGTAAGAAATCAGAGGTGCCTGATTATTGGTTAATATGCATACTTTTATCTAACACCCAACTCGTATACCAGACACCACTGACTCCAGTGCCTCAAATGAAGCACAGAACAAAGAAGACTGGACTGAATGAGAACCTTTATCACCGCAGAAAACTGGTAATAGCCTGGGATAGATACATGGGATGTGACCATTTTCAGAATTAAAAACACTGACATATAAAAAGTAAGTGTCAAGTAATCAGTGGTTTGCATTGGGAAAATGGACCAACTGGTCATGGCTTCCAAAAGCGTTAAAGTAGTGGTTTAAAATGTACTGGAAGACGAGTCATGTTTTATACAAATCTGGGGGACCTTGCAACACCTCTTTTTGTCAAAAAACCTTTTTGATACCTTCGTTTTATTGCGTATATCTGGAAACATGCTGTTCGAGATCGTCTGCAATCTATCCATCTTCTGGGTAGAAGCTTGTTGTTGATTTCGGTTTCGCTCTCAATTTGTATCGTTGCTGATGTGGACAAGCCCAGTAGGATGTCCAAATGTAGGATTCAATTTTATGGCTGCCAAGCAGTTGATTCTTTTGTTTTGTCCATTTCTCCTGATCCACCCTGATATCGTACATTACACTGTGGCGTCTTTTGATGACAACACTTCCAGTCCAAACGGCGTGTTCGGGTCTGTAATGTCGGATGTGAACGCAATCTTTCTGTTCGTAATGTGATTTACCTGTTTGTGTTGTTTGTAAAGTGTTGATAACGTCGCATAGTGTGTCGTACACAGCTTTTTCACTTAGAAACATCCATCGGAGATTTATCATCTGGTAGGGCATCATTAGGCGTTAAGCAATAGATCAATAAGAACTGCTATATTACATTTGTCACCCTTCCTCCTTTTGTATGGGGATCTGCAAATCTTTCTGACTGAATATCAGGTTGTATAAGGTTGTATATGGTACTGTGGTATACGTATTTGATTGACGGTATTTATATGGCAAAACTGGGGGGACTCGAGCGAGCTGAGTAATGATCCATCGTCGGAAATAATAGTCTCTGGTAACCCATGGGCAAAGAAAATATATGTAGAAGCAGCAGTTTTTTGACTTGACGACATAGGCGATATTGCAGTGATCTTCGGTCATTTGGAATAAGCATTGATAACAAACAGATAATGTGTTTCTTGTAATGGTCCCATGAGGTCAATATAACTTCCAACCCAAGGGCCGTCAGATAATGACCAATTCTTTAGTGGAAGACGCGAATGGTCCTCAGCTGCCTTTTAGTATGATGCGCAGCAACCAACGAACTCAGCTGTACTACAGTCCATATTGAGCCAGTAAGCATAGCTTCTTAGCGATAACTTTCACACTCTCCTTTTTGGCACGAACAATGTGAAACTGCTTTAAAAACTTGTATCTGGAGGGACTTAGAAACTGCTACGCGTTCTTCCAACATGAAGCGATTATTGACGACACCAAAAGATTCTCTTCTGTTAAACAGTTGTTTCAAGCCACCGGCGAAAGGTCCCTGTAATCATTTCGTCTGGATTTAATACATGATTTCGTGCATAATCTGATCGTTGTTGGTTTCTTTTTTGATTTGAGCTTCTGTGATGTAAAGCGCGCGAATCATGCAATCCAATAAGGGAACTGCATAATCTGTGCACACTAATACAGTAACTGGGTCTTGGCTGAGAATAGGATATTTGCTTATGAGTCAGGAAAGTGCATCTGTATATTCAGTCTTCTGTTCGGCAATATTTGATATCGAAGTTATAACCCAATAATTTAACTGCCCCCCCCCTCCGCCATCGGTGTAGTAGTCTCTTAGCGGAATGAGCTGTAACTCAACGTTTTCATCTAGAAATTGAGAAAATAGGTTTGTGGTCAGCGAAGTAGATGAAATCTGGTGGAAATTTTGATAGCGAAAACTAGCGCGACTACTTCCTTTTCAGTCTGCTAGTAGTGTTTATCAAGTGAAGTAAGAGATCCCGATACATATATGACGATCTTTTGTCAACTACCAGCACGCTCGTGAAATAGAACGTCATTAGCACTAGCGACGGAAGTATCAACTGCATCGACGATTGGTAGGTGTCGATTATAATACATTAAGATGTCACAGCTGAGAGCGGACTTGCTCCTTTTTACGGCAGTGTCACATCTTTTTCAACACGATCATGGAGCATCTTTATGTAGGAGATTCCGTATGTGATGTAGGGAGGACAGGAACGCTGAATAGTAGCTATTGAGAACTAGGAAAGATTGGAGCGTTGCGGTGTTCGTTGGAGTTGGCATTTGCTGTGTCATGCGAATGTTTGTTAGGGTCAGGACGTCGACCAGATGCACCAAGAGGAATTGACACTTTTCTGCTCTCAACGGATTGCTGAACGGGAGGTGGATGTACTGGGAAAGATCTCAATAAATGTTGGTGATTAGAGGTTCACATTCTAAAACGTTTGACCTGCTAGTGTGTATTCGCTAGGTCAATTTTTGCAAAATAATTGCCTCCAATCAGAGTGGTGAATAGATTATCTGCAACAGTCAGAGTGTAGTGCTGTCACTCTGAAGGTGGATTTAGACCTGTTAAAAAATCAACGCATAGTCGAATGGAACCATTAGCTTTACTAAGGGCGACGTTTGCGGCGGCCCACGAAGAATGGGATATTAGAGTAATAACACCTTGTTATTTCAGTCGTTTCAGTTGTGTTTCGACGAGGGGTGACGGCGGATACAAAAGGGACCTTCTGGGATTAGAAGCAGGATATACGTTTGATGCCAGTCGTAGAACAGCTTTGGCTATACTATAGTGACCGAGGTCAGGCTTGAAAACGTCTGCATATTGCATAACAATGTCGACAGTATTCATCGGGACATCCGACTATTGCTAGACTTTGTTACATACCACATTCAATGGGATGTCAACAGTTTTAAGCTCCCAAATTAATTAACTTCCGACAAGTTGAAGTAAACATCAGTAACGAAAAAACTCCTTCAAAGGTAATATTTCGACATGAGATGAAGCAGTAGAGTTGATGTGCTCGGTTGGAGTTTATCCCCCTCATGTACTAGTAGCTGCTTGTATTCTCAGTGGGAGATCACTGTTATATCGGAGGCTGTATCAAATTGTAGGCGAGTGGTTGACCATTTATATTGAGCGTTATATATTTCTGTTAAACTGGACTATAATAACGATACCTATGTTGTTTGAAAGGGCACGATTTCATATCATAACAACCTCCACGTTGGTTTCTGTTGATCTTTTTTATATGGCAGAGTGTTGCGTCAGACGATATAGAGTTAGTCATTGCTACTAGACGTTTAATTCCCTGAATTTTTTCGCCTTCTGGCAGCCAGTCCGTATGAGGTTGGTATCTTGACATATGTTAGTTTGTTGTAGATATTCATCACCAGTGTCAGCTTTGGTTCTTGTTCAGGACGATTCAGTATGCATGTTCGCATATCTTCAAATCTTGGAGACTGGAGAACGCAGAAAAATATGATTACTTTGAATTGTTCCTATGCTTTATTGGAAATCCCAAGTTGTGTATGAATGTTATCATGTTCATTCATTACTAATTTTATGCACATTGAAGAGTGAGTGTTGTTCTCCGAACTGCTGGCGTAACGTATCAAATGTCCTCTTGCATGGGTTTGGTCGTAAGGATTAGATTGCAGTAACTGTCCAGTTCATTTACACCAAGCTTTCGGAGTAGAAGTCTGACCCTCCAGGCATTGTCTTTATTTGCAAAAGATCTTTATATCTTCGAAATCATGTATCAAAAGTGACATTGGCATCTGGTTCGTATTGAAACTCTGAAATATTGAAACCATTAGTATCACTAGTAGGAGATGAATTGGAGGAAGATGGAGCGAAAGTGACAATTTAAAACGTATAAAAAAATAAATGATGTTTTATGCCAGTCTATGCACCTCCTAATAGTACCGTCGGACGACAACTCTCCGTAATCTCTGATACAAATTAGTTGAGTTCTAGGAGAAAGCTTTGATCACGATAATATATTTGCTCATCACTTCTTCCAGAAACAAGCACTACTACATTACTTCTGGCTCAAAAACATTGAATACTGCCTTCAGATCTAAATGTCTAAAGGTTATTATTGGACTAGTTAATCTTTTTTTAAAATCTAATGTGGGGTGAAAATCTGATCTATGCAAAAGCAAACACCATCCCACTTATTTTATAAGGTTATTCACCTTTCCTTACGTAATTGAGTTTTGTTACGATGACCCGATTGAGCTATTTGGGTAGAAGTAAGTGTAAATAAGTCGGTAATAATAAAGATATATAACCTTACAGTGTAAAAAAGTGATAGAGTAATTCCAGCTTCTAAAAGTCGTGCTACTAACAGCCCCAGAGTAAAAGCAGCAAATAATTTTTTGGTAGTGCCCAGTATACCAGTAATGATGACCTGCTGTTAAGAGAAGGGTTTAGAACTGCTACATTCTGTTGTCTCAAAGTCCCGTTCATTTGTCTTGCGTAAGGTTTGCAAACTATGAACCCAACCCAAGTATACTGGTGGATACAGGTTCCTACTGCATCTCAAGTTGTAAGTCATTTCCTTACTTTTACTTTGCGACCTTTTATCGAATGAGGTACCTTTGAAATGTGTTTTGTATACTTAGTCATCGCCTACCTCGCCCTGGGATTTAAACCTGAGTAGAATCATGTGGAAAGAGATTAAAGCTGGTCAGACTAAGATGGAGACATTGACTGTTTGTCTGAGTCATGTAGAATAATGTTGTTGGCTTTCTGGTTCAAGTCCTCGAGACAAAAGGAATCTATGCTTGGGTAAAAATGGCGCAGGTATATACACTATTTGTCATTTTGGAAGTTGTGAATATTTTGTTAACCTTCGTCTTCCTGTACACATTTATGAGCTTCGATACCACTCTTTTGCAATCTAATTGTTTTTCGTGTCCCTGTGAATTTTGTCAATTTAAGCTGATGCACTTCTGAACCGGATTCTACATTGATTCATCTATTTACCTGTATTTTCAGTCATTATCCTTATGCTAAACTAGCGTTTTGTTTGAATCGAGAAGTATTTCGGTATATTTTTATACAATGCAGATTTGAAGATGCTGTCTTTACTGTAGATTGTTTTCTTTGTCCTAGGATAAGACGGATATCTGGTATGAAAGATTGTCAGTTGTCAGCTGAAATCGAATTATTGCAAGCATCTGATAAGCAAAAGCGTTGGATGCGTCCACCAATTTCTATGAATTTCGAGGTCAGTTTGTTTTCTTTTTTTGTTATCTTAACTGTCTTTTTATTATTTTATTTAAGGACAAAAATTGATTACAAAGAGAGAGGATGGAACCAAAAACACATGCGTAATTAAAGGAGTAGTCTAGAAGTTAAATTCATAGAAGTGTTTACTGCAATTGTTTTGCTTTTCAGTAGTAAAAGAAACACGGAAACCTTAGGCGAGATTCCATTTGTTTTGATTGTGAGTTGTGTTTGCTGTTGTCTCAAGCCAGTGAGTTACGTGGTCTTTTAGACTTCATCCAGTGAATCATGGAGTACTTTTGAATGCAAACCTAATACAACTCTTCCTCAATATCACGTCATACACTGACCATCTTTCTATGTGACAACTACAGATGCATCAGTTTCACTACTATCATGCCTGAGATCTTAGGTTCCATAGTCATCCAACACCTAACGGGAGCTGAACAACAGCAAACTGGATAGGTGTAGGTGTATCAATCAATTCTTCACCATTATACAGGTTTTGAAAAAGGCATGCCTATCAGCACCCGAAACTTAACATTTGTTGACCTGATTGCAATGTTCTACTCTGTCGACAGAGCAAGTATGTAATATTAACCAGTGCTTTTTCGTAGAAGTCACTTTTATGGTGATTTGTTCTCTGAAGTAATGACAACCAGTAGCGTCCAATAAGGGTGCCCACTGTCAACATCTCGCAGCTTTGTTGTTGACATGTTGGTAGATATAGCTCTAGGTACCTTCGACTTGAAAGGGATCGACTAAACCCTGAAAAGATACCTTTTTGACTTGGAGTGCGGTGTCAACATCGTTTTTTCACGATGTTGTGTTGTCTGAGCTTGGTGGTTTATTCATGAGGCTTTTATTGTCAATTTAGACACAACATCGTTACCACAAACTCTAGAAAGAAGTAAGCTATGGGGTTTCCTTTCCCAAGCGGTTAGAGTAGCTTATCCTGATGACCTAGGATGTGGTTGCTGGTTTCTGCCAGTATCTTGCTATCGTCTCCATATCTATTTCGACTAGTTGTCCTATTGACACGAACTTTGACCTTCTTTTTGTTTCTTGTATTTCCTGTTGGTTGATGGATTGGGTCAATATCAATATGTCTGCTGATTGCTGACTGACCTGAATCCCAAGCTTCTAAAAATTCGCTGACACTTTTTGTATTTCCTCTATCCTGGATTTCCATGTTTTCCCAGTCAACTTCATGTCCACAGTTGTCCGTATGCATGACGCTTCACTTGTGCTTGATATTCGTGTAATATAGACCAATTCAAAGAGGACGACCGCTCTGTTCTACATAGTGTTTTTCGCAATTTCCACAGTCTATTTTGTAGATAAAGCTTGACTTGTCTTCCTTTGTTATTGTATCTTAACATGCATAACGCACAATGAAGAAATTTCGTAGGCTTGTGAGCTACAGCGATTCCAAAAGGCTTCCGTAATCTGGTTGCGATGTCGGACATGTTCTTCATGTAAAGTAGGACGATCCTTTTGTTAGTTTCCAAGGATGACTTCTTGGTTAACGGTGAACTAGACAGACATCTTTTGGTGAAGTTGCATGAATAGCCGTTCTAATGAAAAACAGTCATTACATTTTTTTCTTTTCTGCGTAAGGATGGTGTACTACTGTGTGTCTGCTCTTTTTAACAATGTTTTTATACGTGTTGTGTTGTTGGGTTGTTGCTGCTGTAGTTGAGGATCTGATCTGTATGAGTTGGTTTCACGTATATTTCAGTTTCCAACTTCCCCGAATCGGTTCTAGTGATCAGAACATCTGAAAATGCAAGTTTGTTATTTGGTCAGACTTGCATATCACAAATGACCCAACGAACTATGCTAGTTGGAACGCTTTTTGCTTCAGGTCATACCGTACCAGAAAGATCCGTGGGATAGTGGTAACACAAAGAGCGGTCACCATTATAGTTTAGATTGCTGCGTCATGATGGGGATAGGAGGATGATGTCATACTGCTGGTTGGACGGAGTGACAACAGTAGGGTGCTTCCTATGAATCACCAGCAGTACTATGCTGACATCGCCTTCCCTAAGGGAAGAGGATTAGGAAATATCAACCTCATGAGCAGCACACTCCTATCATGCCTTGCGGTTATCCATTATCGGCAGTGTGCGTTTTCCAGTCGATCAAAGCTGAGCCTCAAAATCCAAAATGGGTCATGTGTAACTGGCTTCATGTAGATGTCTTTGGGCTCTCGGGTCATGCACCGCTATTACTAAAACATTTTCTTTTTCACCTACCTCAAAAAGTAACCATCCAAGGTATGGATAACGTGAAAGCGTTACCTGGCTGTACATTTCTGTTAAAACTAAATTTCACTCAGATCATTACCAAACTCCCGCTTCTTCACCTACTAATTCTTCTCCAAAGCTCACTGTCGATTCTCCTAAGTCATTTTTAATTTCTTCCAGCTCTTCATAATGACTCAAGTTCAAGAAACAACATCCTTGATCTCTTGTAACCGCGCTTCAGACCACCTATTCGAGCTTTTGTTATCTAAACACTTTGTCAAATCGAACAACAAGCTCCACTAGCTATGTATGCGTGCTGTTTTGAAACACACGGAGAAGAAGAATGCAGTTATTCGATAAGTCTCATCCGGTGAAGATGGTGAATCTGCAGGATCCATTCTTTGATTCGATGGCTAGCTCTTATGGTCTTGCAGGTGTGTACGTATAGCATTAAGTGCTAAGGTAAGAAGTTCACTGCTTTACTTAATCCCAATTGGTAGTCGCCGTTGTTTCAGTGCAGCATCTGCTTACGCACCCCCTATAACTGAAGTTCTGATAAATAGAACGACAGTTTTAGTGAAAATTGTCTTCTGTCCTTTCAATCTCGGGAGAAAAATCCTCCTGTGATAACCGCAGGGAAAGCAGCTATGTTTTCTGATGTGAAAGGTGGGATTTACGTACGTTGATCAAAGGGCGTGATGACAGTGTCTCTTACTAAGAGAGTGACTGCTAAGTACATCGCTCTGTTGTAGGCGCTGTACGCGAACACTTATTATTCGGCTGTTATTTTTTATGTTGAGGTATCAGGTGGGTTATGTACGTCGAGTGTTATCCGTTCATTCTTTCTATCCTTACTCGATTTTGTCGCACAAGTGTTTTTTGGAAGTCCCCTTCTTCTCGTCTGCCTTTAGCGGGATTAACCTTTTTGCGGGAAACTTCTCCTTGAACCTGTGATTTGTATGCCTAAGTACTGAGGTTTTTAGAAGACTTTTCTGTAACATTTTTTTGGGACTTTATTAACTGATAAAGTGATGATTTTATAAACAATAGGTACCGTTTGCACCGTCTGGATTCAAAGTACGCTTTCTGAAAGTGTTCGAATCCAAGTTGAATTACTCTGATCATGATGTTGTTAAATGGGTTCGATATATTGGTAAAAGTGGTCTATACGAGACGAGATGTTAGTCAACCGTTGAATTGAATTACACAGTTGAACTGAAAACAAATGTTATTTACCAAATCTTTGTATGAATACTACAATCATCATTATTTATTTTGCTTTATTGAAGTGATCAAATATTCAATCATATACACACATGAATGGCATAATATCCATTATATATATTCAATACTGGTTTTTTTTTTAATTTAAGAGGGATATTCAACGTTCTCATTTTGTTCTATCTATTAGTTTTGGGCAAAACTCTGTACTTGTCTGTCACACATGTTTGTTTAAGTGCACACTGCATCTTGACATGTGGAGCTTGACTCCCCGCCCCCCCCGTGCATTACATCTTTTATGGAGGAGCATGAAAGGGAGGTGGTCCTGTAATCACTTGTGCATTTCTATGTCTAATCTTATATGCTTACTTTCATCACCTTTATGAAAAGTACAGTTTCTCTTTTTAGTGAAATCGAACAAACAAAAAAGCAGGTTTATTGCACAATCATTCCATTGTTTACTATTCCGGTCGTACCCTTTTCTGTCTGTCTCTTTCGGTCTTACTCAGATTCGATGTTAGTTGAATTCAACTTTTTCTTGTCTCATGATCCAATCTGGTTTAATTATGATTCTATAAGCTGACAATCAATCCACTGACAAATTATCCTGTGATTTTACATGTTTCTTTCTGTGTATTTATTCTTGATTAGCATTCTAATAATACTGGTCGTCATCATCATTATAATGATAACAATAAAATAGCTTCAGTGTTTTACTTTTATCCATCTGTTATTAGATGTATGTATTTATGTAAAAACTACATCACTCACTGGGGTGCAGGTACATTCAACCGACAAGTCCCAAATAGGACGAAATGCGCGTCCTGGATTCCACTGCTAACCACTATCCATCATTAATAAATTTCTTAGTCACTTTTCTTTTGACAGGTAAAGTGCGCTTTAGGCTTTATGAAGAAATGAATATCAATCTCTGTACTGGGTGGTAACTGAAGGTGGAATGGAAATCTGGACTAACTGAGCCACGAAGTCCTCGTAGCGTAGTTGGTAGAGCATCGTACCGGAAACCTGGTGGTTGCTGGTTCGAATCCGTTCGTGGGCTACATTTTCATTTCACCTTCAATCATCACTCAGTATAAATACTAGTCTAACAAACCATGGCTATCTCAGATAGTCAAAATGATATCAATTTCCGCTATTAATATTATTATTCGTTTATATCAACGGTTTTATAAATGAGGGCAGGCTTTCCCTTCTTGATCTCTCTTCGTAAAGACTGACATACTTGTTAATAATTTGGTCTACTGAGGGCATCTAGGCGATAATGATATCCTGTTAATCGAGAATGCTGACAAATTGTCGTCGATTGAATAATCTGGACCACAGATGAGAAGTGTTTACACGGCGTTTTCATATTTTGAATACAAAACTCATAACTTAGTAAACATGTACCATTTTATGGTGGTCCACATTCATTCTCTTGGGGCTTGTTTCATTAACATAGTTATCTAGAGTGTGTTAGGTGGTGACCTGAAGTTGACTTACTAGTTGAAAGCCAGCTGGTGGGAGTCTATGTCTCTTTTGATAATCGGAGGTGAATTCATCGTGTTCAATCACATTCAAGTTGCATCGCACCTTCCGGGCTGTTAGTTGATGGAGTCCTAGGTACCCAACCCTCACCAATTGTCAAAAAATAAGTGTGCTGTACAGAAATGCGCTGTTTTACTATGTAGTCGTGAACCATTAGAAGAATACCATTGGTTACTAACCAACCATAAAATATATCAGCTACCATCACGAGTAGTGTAAATCCGATCACCACTTCTTCCATGTCGTGGTATATTTTGTTTCGAAATTTAAAAACTAGCATCCATTCAGTCGAGGTTTTTTGTTGAGTTCATGGTTATCGACTGCTGTTTTTTTACATAACAGGTTTATACTAAAAATCACCTTCCTACCTACACGAACTAAAATACTCCATATACAGTTAATTATAAACCGAGACTTCAGCACTCAAGCGGGAAAGACGAACCAATCAGAAAGGCATCTCGAAGGTATATACGGTGTCCCATATCAACAAATTAACGACGGTGGTTGTCATCTACATTTTTGTGCTGACAATCACTTGTTTCTGGTCAGCACTAACTTCAAGCAGAAGTTTTTCACTTGACATCTGTTGACATCAACTCAGGTGTGGATACAGATAGATCATATTCTTATTAGATATCATTAGGGAGGTTCGTTGCCCTTCCTAAGGTGTGTACATGAACTCCGATCACAGGTTGGTACAGATACATGTCTGTTTACATCCTAATGGGTACAGGAAACAAACGGTAGTCAAGCCTATATATACTCGACTGCAAGATGACAACGTCAAGTGGGTATTTAAGGAAAAGATAGCTGAGCATTTTTCTGGACACGGCAGCAGTCGTCTTATTGGTAAAGATTGGCGTAATACTTAGTCTGCTGTTGAAACAGCGGTAAAAACACTCGACAACCTTTATCTAAAGGCTAGAAAAATATGGTGGATTACGACAACCTCATTCCAACTGATTAATACTGAAAGTTTCTTTCCAGCATGTTCCGACGACGGTCAGAAGCGAAAGCAACTTGAACACAAATTGATCAAGAGCTTTTCTAAGGACTATCAGCAGTGGTTGGTAGGGAAGTTGAAAGAATGCGGAACCCATAGTGTAATATTCGGGAATTACTTGAGCAGGCGGAAGACGATAGTTAGGACATAGTTGGAAGTGATGGGACGCTGATAACCTAACAAAACAGGTGTATAGAACTTTAGATGGAGCACTTTGAAGTATTGTGAAGCGATTCAAAGCATCAGTACGCGCTGGTTTGTTAACAGGAGCTTTTCTGGAATGAAGGTCAGAAATGTTTGAGCACATCATCTAAAGTGCTATATGGGAATCAAGTGTTCCTAATAGACTGCCTTACATCACTGGTTATTCCTGCTTATAAGAAATTAGAGAAGCTTTCGTTTTACAATAACCAATACTGATTCTGAGATTCTAGGGTTCGTAGTCATGTGATACCTGACTTGAAGTGGAGAAAACCAGATAATTTTCAGACCTGCATTAGTCATATCAGTGGTGTCAAATGGGGATGTCCACTGTCATTAAGGACACTTAACTTTTCTAAAGGGGGACTAACAGGTGCAGACTTGGGTTCCGCTGACTTGACATGATTGCCTTACTTCTAGGAGGACACCTGGCTTACTAGGAGTTGGCAGGCGACATCGGCGTGTTAGGCGAAAACACTGAAAAGATACGCAGTCTTCCTAACACCAAAATCAGAGTGTTTTTGACATATCTTTTGGACCTAACATGCGCAAGATGGTGCTTCAAGATTGGTTTGCAGTGACTTTTAATCTAAGGATAGAGAGTAAAGTGCGTAGACCAATTCACTTACATCAACCTCAGTGGGTTGGTTACTGGATACAAAAGGTTTTTCAGTGTTTGTTATCTATGCAGATTTCTGGGATCTGCAAGATGTCCAGCTGCCTATTGAAGGATGAGTATACTGCCTAGCAGTTTTGTTCGTCCTCTAGTACGGGTGTGACACATTACCGTTAAAAACAGAAGATATGGAGAGATTACAGGTTTCTGAATCACATAATTTTGTGGCATTGGTTGTGTGCGATGGAATCAGCTATTTTGAAGTTAGGTGTAGGATGCTAAGCTAGGCAGGCAAGTCAGTCTAAGAAATTGTGAACCTTCAATTTAGTTGGCATGCGCTGCGTAGGCCGTGCGACCGATTACCTCGATGTACAGTGTTATCACGATTAGCTTTTCGTTGGGTGATGGCTACGAGTCTTCATAAGGCGTAGCACTAGTTCGTAAAGCCTTTAACTATTAGTCTGAGCCATGTAGGAAGGTGTAAGCAACCTATTTAGGCTTCTCAAGATAATGGGAACCAGAGATTGGTGACATGACTAAAAACTGGTCACAGTGACGCAGATGTATTTACTTATTATCTCAAGTGAAAAATACTTCAATTAAGCCTTGCCTATTTATTCTCTTTCGCTCATAAAATTTTGCCTAATGCTTGAGGAATTCATTGACTGTTTTGCAAGCTGCCATACAGCTAGTCACATTGAATCTATGATCTTCGGTTCCAGCTTGCATATCGATGTGTTTATCTGGCTCTATTTTTAGTTGTAAAGATAACCTTCCATTTGAATCGCTAAATATTGCTTTATTTTTCCACGGAAGTGAGATAACAGATGTTACTCTGATTATCACAGGGATGTTAGTTACTCCTGAATTAGTAGAGTCACTTAGCGAAATTGACCTTTTGAGAGATTTTTGATTTACCTGAATGTTTGAAAAAGCTTGCTATTCAGTGGTACCTTCAAGGTTTAGTTTAACTTAAACAAGGTATTTGAAATGCAGAAGAACGTTGTGAAAATGGGGGTCTCCTTCAGTACACTTCCAACTGATTTACTGTGTAGCGTGTCAGAAGATTCCTCCTCAAGTTACATCATTTCGCTTCATTTTTGCGAAACCTCATTAATATATGATGAAGAGTTTCACTTAAAAAAATCTCTTCATCTTCTTAAATGCTGTCATCCGTCTATGGAATGTACCCTGAAGAGTTGGTTAACAAATTCGATATTTATATTTCTGGATGTACAAAAAGCCAACATGAAGCGGATAATTTACTAACTTCTGAATTTACATCCAACTCGTTGAGAAATAATAGTGTGCAGAATGATTGACAAAATCTTCATAAGAAGTCATACATTCCTAAAGACTTCTTCAACCAATCGTCTTCCTTCAGAGTTTCCGGAGAAAACATGGGAATCAGCGTGTAAGTATCAGGTTGGTTGAAGAGATGAAAAATCAATAGGATTTGTTAGGATGTAGCCAAAAATGGAAATCACTCAAGGTCATTCGCCGTTGGGGTAGGAATATTTTCGTATCAGACTTTGATTTATTTCCATCTGATTGGTGATCTAGTGGCTTCATTTCTGAGCAACAGGTGTATATAAATACTGGCAAATAAAATCGTCTTCGTTAAGTCAGTTACTGACCTGTCTTCTGGTTTCTGCGTCTCAGTGAAGTATAGAGTGTGGGGAAGAACAGTCGTATCACTCGTATTCAGTCCATTATCTCGGTACGTTAGTATCTCGTTCGCTTATTATTAGAATCAACGTCTTACCCCCTTACACATACATAAGGATTTAAATCTAGAAAGGCCTGGATTAGCCAAGGTCATTGTACTACACATTTAACCCTTGTGATTTGTGTATATTGTGGCTGTTGGCGTTGTAAATACACCCACTGTTGTATACCACTTTTTTTTCTATTTACGGGAAAACTGAGTGATCACTAAGTGTGGAATCTGAAGGTTATCGTACAAGCATCCACATATACATAATTCGGGGTATACTAAACCACTGTGAAGATAGACAAAAATTGGCGACGGGTAAAAAAAAGCAACTCTTTCTGCTGAAGAATTTCAAGCATTTTTGCACGCTATAATGAAAGAATGTAAGTAGCATCACGGAAGATTATTGAGAAGCTCAGCAAAATGCTGGATAACATCCAGGCAGAATCTACATCCATGTCCTCAGATTTTGAAACAGGCTCTCAGTAAATGCTTCAACGATGGTGAAGATAAAAATGGGTTTAAGGAGCCTGATAATATTGTTCATCGTACAGTGACGAACGAGGATGATAGTAACCCCTTCACTACCGACCTTAAAATGATAAATGATGCGGACATTGCGTTAGTTCATGTTGATGAAAACCAAGAAGAACTTAAAGAAGGTTTGCAGAATGATATACCATATTTAGTGCCATCCGTCCTTTCTACAAATATACCCCACAATGAATATTCACAAGGAGTACCGGTTCACGCTCAATAATCAACGTCAACA